AAAAGTTTTACGAACAAACGAACCGGCCCCAACCGAAATGGCTCGACTTTTCAATAAAGACGTAGGCATTATTGAATTGATATGTGCCAAGCATATGGCGACATCAATGACCGCAATGGCTCAAATATGCTCCCAAAATAACATACACTACATCTATATCGCTTTTTTGGCTCAAAATCTTTCTCTCGGAAAATTCGAAACTTGCCTTTTGCCATACACAATACTTGGCCATTAATTTAAGACGCTGTCAATGAGAAAACTTTTCAATTTTGACTTTGATTTGCCGCTGAATTTTATGCTGAAATGTGTAGTATGGCAAACGAGCGAGCGAGAGATAGAGAGAGAGAGAGATTGCACAAATTGTTGGCCGATGTAGAACCAGCTAATTTAGTCATGTACAAAACGACGTTCACCCATCCAAATTTAATTTTAAATAACTCAATAAATGCCCAACTGATTCACACTGATTTCGCATTCAGTGCATAGAATATGGCCAAACAAGCATGGTAATTCGGAAAAAGGGTTCGGTTACCACACACACACACACACACACACAATCATGTCTCCGATCACAAATCATGCGTGTTCTCCAAGACGACGATGGCGCTCAAGACAGACCAACATCAATTTGGCGTATGGAAGCAACATGCAAATTTGCTGATAGTTTTTTTTTTCATTCTTGATTTCCATCACAACCGATGTGGAAAACTCTTTATACGTCTAATTGAATTTTGCCAAGACATTTGGTGGCGTATCGTTCAAGTATGCGAAATGCTAAATGATACCATTATTTATGTGAAATGACCACATAGAAATGCTCATAAAATTCAAAGTGACTCGACGATATTAGCAAAGGAGATCGAAAGAGAGACAGGAGGAGCGTGACGATAGCATTTTCACAATCAACATTGTCAATGTCATTCGAACATTTCTCCGCACTATACATTTTATCGAAGATTTATGAGTGTTCGTGACTTATGTTGCGATTTTCACTTCATTGCCTGAATCTTTTTAGCATATTATAAAACTATTAAAATATAGACTAAGAGCAGGTTCCGTTGCTTCTTGACTTGCTCTTGTGCAGTGAAGAAAAAGGAAAATAGAGACAGAGAGATAAGTAAATTCAACGGCATCTGCCAAAATTCGAGAAGCTCAAAGAGTAAAATTGATGTCAGAGGGGCTTAGCGTTTCAAGTTTATCTCCACTTCACTTATTGTTATTTCCGACAGTAGCATTAGGCAATCGCATCTGCCATCCGAAGCGTGATCACTTGCCGTATATTCGGTTCGGATTCGCTCAGGAAAGAAATTGGGAAAGAGAAAAAAAGCGTTTCTCTTCGTTGACCCACAATAATATGAACTCCACACAACACAATACACTTTGCTATATTCTCATGACGTGTGCATGCAGTCGAGACGCTAAGTTAATTTTCTCAAAAAAATGTTCATGCCACGTGCCAATGCTTCGTGTTATGTCGGGATACGTCGCATATCACGCACCAAACGTATGAAAATATCACGACCATTCAAACACACGTTTTCCGATAGCTCAGCATCTCAGCATTTCGTATGCTGCGGATATATCCGAGCATATCGACGACGCAAGTCACTGTATAAGTGGCGTGCGTTGATGTGCACAGCTACATTGACTACACACAAACAGAGAGTTTTACACACGAACAGAGTGCGCAGTGTTTGTGTGTAGTCGATGTAGCTGTGCACATCAACTCAAGCCACTTAAACAGTGACTTGCGTCGTCGATATGCTCGGATATATCCGCAGCATACGAAATGCTGAGATGCTGAGCCATCGGAAAACGTATGTTTGCAAACATTCGATCGTTGTCTCTTCTTTTGTGTATTTTTAAGTATTTTTTTTTCGTTTTTGTTTTCACATTTTCGATCACTCTCTCTCTCTCTCTCTCTCTCTCTCTCTCTCTCTCTCTCTCTCTCTCGCTCTCTCTCTCTCTCTCTCTCTCTCTCTCTCTCTCTCTCTCTCTCTCTCTCTCTCTCTCTCTCTCTCTCTCTCTCTCTCTCTTTGTGTGTGTCTGGGACTTTTTTCTCCTCTCTAACGATAATAGAAACGTTGAGAATATTATTATTCAATTTACGTCGGCATCTAACAAATGTGTTCATCTGTCTATCAACAAAAGACAGACAAATTGTGAGGAAAACACACAAAAAATAACCGTCGCCTGAAACAGATAGCAATTTCTACAAATGTTTCCTTTGAAAACAGTCAAAGATTCCGTTTTTTTTTCTCTCGTAAGATATTTTGCGAATTTTCCCCTCAGCGCCTTAATAAAAGAAATAAAACTCCGATCAAAGTGTCGATAAAACGTTAAGAAAACGAAAAGGAAAAACTGTAATTTCAATTAAAAATGCATTAACATAGCGATCGATGTTGTGTGTGGATGTGAACGAGCAGAAAAACGATAAAAAAAAAAACTAAACGAAACACGACGTGAGTATAAAAACTGACTGCGGGAAAATGGAAAAAAAGAGAGAGGCAAAAAACGCAAGAAAAACGAAAATTATCTTGATGAAAACACAGCACGGCATCGATGTGTGGCACATAACGATTTTCTATAATTACATGACGTCGAGTGCGACGCAGCATGTTCCAATATCAGCCGCCGAAAATAATTTGTACACGAAGCCTAGTTATGTTTTGGCTTCTCCTCAATCCAAATTAGTCAGTCGCTGGCACTTCAGCTCACACAGCTGTCGCGTATATTACCTCGACGTCACAAGCACTCCAAATCGCGCGTACACATTACGATATCGATGTACTCTAAACCGTGGATTCCGCTTATCCTATTGATGTAATACACTTCCTTTCTGTGTGTCTCGGTGAAGCAATCACTTGATTTGCGCGTCTATTGAACCAAAAGAAGAAAAGAAAAAAGCGAATGAACAAAAAAAAACGTGTATATCACCATCGTGTCAATATTTCCTTGTGCACATCATTTCATCGACTGTCAAATTTTCTGTGTGACAGGGTGACTTCACCTTCGATTCTTCTTTTTTTCTTCCGTCCGTTCTTTTCTTTCCACTCTCATCGATGATGATACGACGCGTACTTTTTTCCTGCTGGCTTTTATTTAATGCTCAAATACACATTGCTTTGAATACACGCACCGTCGTGTACCTGTTCCGTTGCGCGTCTAATACGCTTTCGAAAGAACTGATTGAACTCAGTTACGGATTGAGTAGATCTATGTGTGCAAAGGCTTTATAATCAGGCCATTCTTTGATTTGGCTTTATCGTCATCTATTGTTTGGCGAACGCCAATTGTTGGAATCCTTTTGAAATTTCAACGGTTCAGCCTTGTTTCCGAAGTCGTCACCGTTGATTTTGCGGCACAAAACATACGAGGTGCGGATTTTCAGCATTTCGGATTATAATGCGACAGTAGAGAGAGGAACGAAAAATCGAAGAAATATCGACGATAATCGCGTATGGTAATGTTAAGGTGTACCAAATTCTATTATTATCAAAATACATTTGTTGTTATTCGCACGCATTTGATTTACATTTTCTTCACTGTTCGAGCCATGAATAGGTCGGTTTTGGTTCGTAAGATCGATTGAAAAAAAGGGCAAAAAATGTGTTTCACACATTTTCAATGCTGACACAGGTTGACGGATAATTTTAGGGCGAGACAAAAGAAAAATGAAACTAACGGAATGGAAAGCGAAAATGGAAAAGTGTGTGATGTTTTTTTTTCAAATCTAACACCTAAAGCGTTCGATCTGCATAGGGAATTACTTTCACGCAATCCCTTGACGCAAACGCATCTGCATTCTTGACAGATTGAGGGTTTCCAATTTTAAATTCGCCGTTATATGTTTCGATTACGGACGGCACAGCCAAAAACGCACGCAATGTGAACAACATATCGAATGTGCCTGTGCATACAGGTTTTTAGGTATTTTTGTGCGTTCGATTCCATTCCCATTTATGGAGTACATTGAGCAGGGCAAATTTATTTGTACCATTTATTTGGTGGAATATATAGCGACACTGTGCGCATTACATGTGGTATGAAACAGGCAGCGAGATACACACACACACGATGAGCCATGTTTAGCCACATGAACATGAAATGCGGTATTGAAAACCGTTTGCTTTTGATGCTATTGTCGTTGCTTCGCATATTATTATGATTTCGAATGCGCGACGAATATATTCAAGACCATTTCGCACAAAATCCAAATGCGGTAATTCTATTTCGAGAACATCGAGAGAGCGAGAAATGCAAAGAGAATGAGATGCACGAGACACACTGAACACCAAAACCAAATAGGCATCGTCATACATATCGCTTTTCTACTTAAACCATATTGATGTTCACTATATTTTCCCCGGCGCTAAATGTGAATATTATGTGTATTTGACTGTCGGAATGGCTTTTGCGGAGCGAACAACGGGTGCTCTAACGACACGACACACTCGTGCACATACGCAGCAAGAAGGCGAGGGAGACAAACAGCCATTCATTCATTCCGTTTCGAAAGTCTTATTTGTTTCCGTTGTTATTGCTTTGTCAAATCTAGCCAACATAATTCCGTTTCCATATGAAAATCGAATGGAAAATTGAATGGATGAAACGGTTATTTTATGTAGCTGCTAATTTACTTTCGCTCGTTCGTTTGTGGTTCATTTCGCTTGATTACTGTCATTGGTTGGAACGAATCGAGGCTAGAGGATCTTTTTTTTTGTCATTTTAACCGACATTTGCGATGGATTTGGCGAATCCTATCGAATTCGATATTTCTCGTCGGTTTTTACATCCTGCTGCGCGCATCCATCGCACACGCTTCAAAAGCGAAATCAATCGATTCGGAAGTAACCGAATTGTGTCACTTTCCTTTCTCGATACGGCATGAATAGCAACAGTAAATTCCATTTGACGGATTTCCATGTGTTGATCATAACATAAATTGCGCATCCGATTTTATTCTCTATTCGAGCAAATGAACATCGAAAGTCAATAATAGTTTCATTTCAGAGTAAGCAAAAAACAGACCAAACTCAACTGGAGAACGTCTCGACGCGAATATAAAGCATCTTATTCACTGATGCCACACTTGAAAATTGGCTCAGACAACAATTGCATTATTTGAGTTGATATAATTTCGCATCGCATTTTTATTTCGTCTGCGTCAATTTTATCTTCGAATCATTTGCATGCAGCGATATAAAAAAAAGAACGAATGAACGAGCACAACACGCGCAGTAACAAACCACTGGAGACTGTTTTGCATTTAAACGACACTTTTTTTCCATTACGACTGTGCGCGCACTCTGATTGAAAACGGCAGGTATTTATTTGCATCGCTGTCGTTTTGTTCATTTCATTTAACTGATCTGATATCAGTACTACATTTCTGGAATGGTTGTGCTGTCGCGAACGAACGCGAGCGAAACACAGAGCGAGCGAGAGAGAGAATGTGTCTAAAATTTTTCCAATTTGCTTTCTGTCAGCATAAAACGTTTTTTATGAGCTTTAATTCGTTTCGCATTAATTTTTTGGTAGGTGAAAATGCCATCGTTTTCACACTTTAATGATTTGAGACTTTGACACCAACGGATTTGTTAGCTAAATACTTTCAACCAATGGAAAATATACGTTCCGGCAATCACGATCGAATTTTCAGTAGATTTATACTACCTGATCGAGTATTCAAATCGGTGATATTCATCGTCGTCGATATATCGTGAAATCAGTACACGATTATATTCTAAAGCCTTTTCAAGCGAGTGAGCGGGAGAGACGCGCGTTTATTTTTTTTTTTGTGAGGCATCTGCATGAGAAATAAAATACAGTTGGAGAAACGGTTGAGCGAAGGGGAAATCGAGTATCGTGTTTACATTGCAATGGCACTCTCTCTCACGTTCTCTTCGCTTCGGTAGCTGTTTGAATCAGCTGGTTGGCTCGGCATGTGTTTGCACTGGCATTAACAAGTGCGACGACGACAACAACGTTCAGTAAGTGTATTCGGAAGCAAAATTTTGAAGCCGAACTCAAACGCCACCAGACATAACAACACAACCGATTCAGTGGTAGGCGCGTTGCTTCGATTCCCCTCCAACCATACGCTCGCGGCCAACGTACTCGCATTGTTTTGAACGTTTTTTTCCCATGCTTACCGTAGTCTCTCTGGCATATTTCGTGGTCATTCTAATGCTTGAAGTTCAGAATAATCCGATTACTACACACGTTCGTTGAACGTTTACTGTTTCCCACCAGCACAGCACATGTGATACGATTCGTAGTTGGTTTCGAATGAATGAAAGTGTGCGCCGCTCACAAGCGACAGAGAGGCACATGAGCAAAAGAGCAGAGCTGGGGAACAGGTTTTTGGCGGAGAATTCATCCATTCACATACGTTTCTGTGGATGAGCACATTTTGACTGTGCGCTCTCATTCTCCTAACCAACGAAACTCGCTCATTCACTCCGATGTTTTGGCACGATGATCCAACTTGCGGAACGGCAAAACTGTTCATATATTGTGTTGATAGCCTGAGAAAAAGTTTAGTTCATCACAGTCATTGGTTTGAGCAATTTGTGTACGACCGCTTTTTTCTCGTTCACGTTGAACACAGCAAACAACACAACCGTTTATCTCGCATTGAGTTTTAAAAACACACGTGAATGATAATATTTAGATAAAACAAACATTTCCACTGTACCAAGCTATTCTTAAACACACACTGTGAATAATTCTGTATGTGAGAGCATCTCCGGCAAGGAAAACGAGAGCGGAAAGGAGAAGAAAATATAACAGCCGTTTCTTTTGTGTTTCAAGTGCTTTGAAATCAACACATCTATATGATTTGTTTGGAGCACATGCCAGAGGACAAGCAGCAACTGTATTTTTTGTGTGCGTCAATCAGAGGCGATTAAAAAAAAAATTCCAATCTAAAATCAACAATTTGAATTTATTAGTGAAGAGTTAACAAGTTTGAAAGAACCAGGAAGAAGCTAATAAAGTACGTTACATAACGGCCAAAATAAGTAAACAGTAAAACAAATATCCAGAACAGTTTTGTTGAATTGCGATTAAACAGAGTCGAGTGGACTTGAATCATTTTACCACCAATCGTTTTTGAATGAAAGAAAGAGCACATATTTTTTTGTGAAAAATTTATCGTTTTTTTTTCTTGCTTCAAACGCAACTATTTGCCAATTTGGTGAAAAATTATTCGGTTTTGAAAAGAGGAGAAAAATATACAGGTTTTATTAATTTTTTCGATGAAAATAGTGTGGTTTTTTCCGTTACTACTGTTTCGAAGGCGATTGAACAATAGTGTGTGGGATGTTATTCTAATTTGAAAAAAAAATCAATGTGAAATCAAAACACGAGCATAAACACTGTCGCGTCTCGTGATCCGAAACACAGAATTTTCACCGATTTATTTCTTGATTTAGTTCTATCAAAAAGAAATCCTAGTGTTTGTTAAAATTCCGAAATCGCCGCCAGTTTCGCAAGAAAAAGGAAAAAACGGCCAAAAATTAAATTAAACGAAAGTTTCAAGCAAGTGTGACCATTGTGAACCTATTTTTATGTTATGCGTAAAAACCATTTCAATTAGAAAGAGTCTTGAGGAATTTTTGAAAGCAAAAAAAGAGAAATATCTATCGTTGTGTATGTATTGAAGGAAAAAGAAGAAAAATAAAAGCGAACAACACGAACAAAAGGGAAAAGGCAAAGAAACAACAATTTTCGAACGGGTTTTTTTTCTTGTGAGTTTGTGTGATTTTGCTACAAAGTCGCCGAAATAAGTTCAGTGACAGTTTTGACAGAAACATTGTGACGCTCATTCGCATCCTCAGCACATGATATAACTCTTTGAGTTGTGTATTACAGAGTCGCTATTTTTTTTGTTCACTTTGAAATAGTATACGGGGTAAGCATTCTCAAAACCAACTACTAACTTTTTTTCTCTTATTTTCCATGACCATTTTACCCGAAATATGTTCATACTGTGTGTTTTGCCTTGAAATTTTTAAGTATTCCGTTGACGAAAATTCTGTTGGAATATTAAAGTAAAAAAACGGAAATTCATCTTCTTCTGCATGCGACGACAACGAAATAGAACATCGGAACAACGTCTTCCGATATAGATATGGAGAACGCGCGAAGAAACTTTATAAAATTGGTTGCAAATTCAATTTTGTTATAGTTTCGCTATTATTATGTAGTATTTTTGTGCCCTCAGGGCGACAATGTACATTGTACATGACGCAGGCGGCATTGCCAATGCGCTTTCGGCACAATCGTATAATTTTTCGGCAAAACCATAAATTATGGGTATGCTTTTCGCAAGTCTCGCCGTAACGACGTGCCCGATTCAATATTTTTATGTTTATTTTCCTACAATCAAACGGTGGAAAGTGTCTTAATGTGTCGTGTGATCGGGAATTTATTGAGGTAAATTGCGAGTGCCGAGCTGCTCGGTGTTTGTGTGTATGTCGTTAGATTAGGCAATGAATTATGATTTGGTGCGCGGCTGCTGAAAATGCTAACACACCACATCCATATAGGCAGAAGAGAAAGAGCATTGTTGTCGCATTATGGTTGCAACTATGCTCATTTCTTTTTTTATCACTAATCGTAATTTATTGTCGTGCTCTGTGAATGCACACGGCGGCACAACGTATATATCGACAGTCTGTATTGGATATTTTACGAGCAAATATCGGATTTGAGAGAACTTTTTTTTTATAGCATTAGAAATTCGAATAGTGTTTAATGTTACTAGTATGTGGTTAAGGGATGTTTATCGCCTCGGAGCTTGTATCCAAACAAAAATATTTGCTCTCTCTCTCCCTCTCCGCCATCGCCCATTCCATTCGCTGTGCAAAATATGTAAAAAAAAATTCCGCAAATACCACATTCATTGTAACATTTTTTTCTCTTCTCATTCTCCTATGCACGGTATTGGTTTTCAACTTTTTTTCTCGCTCTCTCATGCGCGATTGAAACGCACAAAAACTCATTTTTATAGGGTTTTCATTCCAAACTCTCTTGTTTCTTTTATGGTAACGAATTTTTCATCAAAATAGCACTGCAGAAAAAACATAGATTCCAAACGAATATCCCCCAATGAATTCATGGAAGTTCGATTGATACACTATTTGCCATTGCTACAGACTTTACGCAAAAAATGAGAAAAAATACCTGAACAATTTTTTATATAATCGATTGCTTGTTCATCGAACGAGTTGTGTGTGTTTGAAGTTTCACTTGAATCATTATTATCAAAATGTCTGTCATCACGAGCACAAACGCACAAAACACTCAAAAACATAAAAAAGTTGAGTTATCTCTTTTGTACTTCGGGAACTTTATTTGCACTGATGACTTTCAATGACGATTTCTCCATGTTCCGATAGTAATAGTTATAAGTTACACAACTTGAAAATGATTAGATCGCTGTAATATCAATTTGAGTGTCAGTAAGACATGACGGAATAGGCGAGCGAGATAGAGAAGAGAAAAAACTTCAATTTTCATCATTTAATAAACATTTGCTTCGTTTCATGTTGATGAGATAAGCGGAAATTTATCGTAAATAATGACATAGTATAGCGTTTTGTATTAGCGGACCTCTCAATCAATGTAAACACAGGAAAACACATATAAAACTGATGCGTTTGCGAATTGAAAAAATGAACAGCAACAACAAAAACGGCAAGTCGATTAGGGGGGAAAGAAAAGAGCCGAATCGCCATGGCAAAAGTCAACCAATGTTTTTTTTTTCGTTCATTTACGCTCATCGCATACAATCACGGCCGAGCGAAAAATCTAGCGTAAATAGTAAGAGTAACGGGCGAACGCAGAAAAAAAGATTCGTATATTATGGTTCAACGTTTCATAAATTTCATTCAGCTCACGTTTGTTGTATTCGCCAACGTCGACGATCTGCCGTGTCGATAAATCAAGATAATTTGCTGAAAAGCATCTAGCAAATGCATCAAATGTGGCTTACTGAGAAAGAAAATAAACAGAACCGAGAATTCTGTTATTTCGCACAATAAGCGCAACAGAATCGTAAAACCATCACACACACACACGCACAGCAGAGATAGAGAAGAAAAATGTAATATCCACCGACAAAAATGTGTAACAAGCTTTTCATTTGTCTTTGGCGATACAACATTTTCCGAGCATTTCCTTTATTCATTTTGATTGCCGTGTTAGCTTAATGGCTTTCGTGGGCGATGCCACGTAATAAAAAAATAAGCGCACCCAAGAATAAAATTAAAAGCAAAAGCAAAGCAAAAAAAATGTGTACGCATTAACGGGATACGACGAGCCAGTTTTGCAAAAGAATGAGCATGAATTCAGAGCGAAATGAAAAGAAAAGAATAAAAATGGAAAATGAAGAAAGTGAAAGAATGTAACGTGATTCACACGCAGCCACTAAAGAAGAAAAATGTGCCTCGGATAAATCAAGCAAATACTATACTCGAGCGCACACGATGTGAAAGCGAAAAAAGGAAGAAAAATAGAACACCGAGTTCGCTATCCTTGTGAAGGAAACAGAACAACAACAACAACCGAAAAAACTAACATCAAATCGGCAGACAGGAGGAAAAAAGTAATAACACACAGCGAAATAAAAAAAAAATCACTACAAAAATGTGAATTTGATGGGAAAATTTTAAAACGTTTTACTCAAATGGATAATATTAAATTCGGGTGATATACACATTACGGCACCCAGTGGCGTGGTGTTGTTGCTGTTGCCATAGCTCTGTTGTGTTTATAAAAGATGTTCGGTAGCACAGTTTTTGATGTGGTGTTAATCTACGGCTGATATGTGTAACGTCCATTTCGATGCCATAAAATGATTCTAGGAAACACGTTTCACTCCACATTAGATTATTTGGTGTTGTTGGGCCGCTTTGACTTGTAAGCTTCAATGCTACATCTACTTTGGTATGAGTATCCAGTTTCAAATTCTCCCCCCCCGAAACTCGAAAAAAATCCGAAAGAAATGAACCACGAATGAAGCATCGACGATTCTACAACAAAATAAGAGAACAAAAACAAAGACGAAAAAGAAAAATCTGTACTAGAACAAACATCGAATGAGCGAGAGAGAAAAGGAGAGTGGGAGAGAGATCCAAGTCTTGCCAATTAAAGCGGGAGCATAACTTGTGCTAGCCAATTTTAATTCAGTTAGTCAGCGCTATTCGCGCGCATCTTATAAATTCTCATTCCTCTTGAGTGTGGTTTCACTTTTCAACCACATGTTTTCCAATTATTCCATGTAATTTGATAATGAACTCGTGCATAGAGCAAAACTTTTCGTTTTTAATTTTAACGAAAATAGTTGAACACAATATGCCAGTTGAAAAATAGAAAACTTGCCAAGACTTCGCGTAGTCTGACGAAGGGACTGAACCTGGCGGTGGTGATGTTAGATGCGTACCGACAGCCACCAAAAAGGGAAAATTAATTGAAGTCATGAAAAACGTCAAACATTTCGATGAAAATGGTTGGCATTTGGTGCGCCTCGAGATAATTGGTGTGTCTGCCATTCTGGGTACCCGTTGATCTGTGAAAGTAAATGACATAAAAGATCAGTGAAACGAGTCGATAAAATGTGTCTACGAGGAGATGATTTGTTTTTTTTCTCCATTTTCGCTCACCGTCGCATCGCCATCTTCGACCTGAAATTCTATTCAGTGCACGACCTCTTCGAATCAAAGGAGAGAAAACGAACACAAAACACCAAAAACCAACTAAACATTCCTTTTTGACTTTTCGATGCCTTTGTCTCCGTGTTGCCCTTTAAAAAGTATCTGAACCCATAAGGTATTTCAAAATGGTTTTCAGTGGCAAAATGCACATAAATCATTTACCTTTTCGCCTTTTACGCTTCAGTTCACCCACTCTCACAGTCTCGCATGCTCTCATATATGAACAGAACTCACGCCAGATCAGAACAGAAACAAAGAAAAATCACACACAAACACCGAGTCGAACATTGAACAAGTATTTTCTCGTTGAATTTTCTGTTTTGAGTCAAACACACTCAATTACTGCGCTTACGTGTGTATTACAACACGGTTTATTTTTCGACAATGAAACTCCTCCGTTCAGTCTGTTTAAGCTCAATTTTTCATTATTTTGCCGTAATCCCATCGATCTTACTCAATTAAATACATGAAACGTTTCTTTAATAAGGATTTAATTTGGCAAACTCATTCTTGAAATTGTTGCTCCATTCACAAATTCGATATGATTTTTCATCGTCTTCCTTCGTTGGCAGCGCCTTACTCTTTTGCTCTCCAGCTTTCCGAGAGTGTGAGCAATGCTTCACTGGAGCATCGAGCGTGCTGCGATATGCTTTAATTTCATTATTTTCATGAAGATAAATCGCTTTGAATTTTTCATACTTTCGTTTTTGCCACACGTCAGTGCAACGCAAATTAACGAAATATGAAATAAAGTGTTCTGGTTTGGAAGGTGTATGCCCATATCTAGAGGTAATGAGGATGATGAAAGGAAAAAAAAATGTGTGTATAAATCTCAATTGAAATTGAAAGCAATACAATTACCCATCGACCGACAATAGCAAATGTCGGTTATGATTATGGCGTTAGGTGATATGCATGTGAGCGCGCGCAACTCGCTATGACAGCCCAAAGAGTAGTTCAACCAAATGAGGCAGATTCAAGCTTTTCTTTGCTTAATTTTCGATTTTTCATTTTGTATACTGCTTCGTTGCTATGATGATGATGATAATGATGAAGGCATGCTCATGGAAGAGGAAGATTCACATGATGCCCTACTTTGACGTCATTTCTAATGACTCGTTTTCAGTCATATTGCCTTTGGCACGTCGTCGTTCCACAGTTCTCACGTACGACTCAATCTTAGCGCACAAACACA